AAGCACAGTATGATTATGTGATTTCCCACTTAGCACTTAATAACATAGCTGCTGGTCCCAATTGTGGCTACTAAACAAGAACTACCTGAAATTGTAATGATTAAGAATGACCTCTTGACTCCTCCTTCACCTTCCTGTGCATTTATAGATGTGATTTATTTATGGTTTTTTTAACTTTGGCTCCTTTATCTGGCACATCAGCTACAGTGTGAAAAGCATTTCACAGCCAATTGGTTAGATACATTTCCTTTGTAAATATTTATGGTGTCATCAGAAAATGGGTGAAACATAAATTTTCCAGTTTTGTATGGCTTTCAAAAACAAACTACTGGAACAGAAAATGATCAATTCCAAAACACTCAAGGATTGGGAATCTAAATCCCTAAAGGATAATAGTAAGATTTAATTCTGTAAATATACACCTACATTTTAATCTGAGTTTGGGAGCCCACAAATGGATCAATGCCAAGCACTGCAAATGAATTATAGAATTTGATCTTTCTTAAGTGACACTTATAAATCTGTGGGAATACAAAATGTCTTCCTCTTCATGATCTGATGCCACTCAGAGGTGATCCTATAGTTTCCACCATGGTGCTGACTAGAATGACTGAAAGGTATCTGCTGATTAAGGTATCTTGACAGGGATCCGGTTGAACAGAGCAGAATGAAAAGAAACGTATTAACTAGCTGATGGATTGATGTAAAATTCTAGAGAAAGAGTATTTTTCCACAGAGGCAAGATCTCTTTTTGTGTCTGGTGTGCCAGCCATATTGCTTGGACTATAGCTCCCATCACACACACACACACACACACACACACACACACACACACACACACACACACACACACACGTAAGAGGAAGATGAGGGTTGTTTCAGTTCAACTTATTTGAAAGGCACCAGGAAGAAGGCTAATCTATACCATGTAACACTCAGCAGGACAAAGGATCCTGTTTTTATTTATTTATTTATTATTTATATTTCTACCCCGCCCTTCTCCCTGCGGACTCAGGGCGGCTTACAGCCTTTTAAAAACAAGTACATAACTACAAAAATACTAGAGTTAAAATGTTAATTAAAATAAAATATTATTATGAGGCCATTATTATCCTATTTTTTAAAAATTATTATAAAACCAAGTTAAAAAAGTAGCCCTTAGGCCAGTCCTGCCAGCTTAAATAGCCATGTCTTGAGGGCGCGGCGGAAGGAGGGGAGATCCGGAATCACCCGGATCTCTGGGGGTAGTTCGTTCCATAGGGTGGGAGCTCCAACAGAGAAGGCCCTCCCCCTGGGGGTCGCCAGCCGGCACTGTCTGGCTGACGGCACCCTGAGGAGACCCTCTCTGTGGGAGCGTATCGGCCGGTGGGAGGTAATCTGAGGCAGCAGGCGGTCTCGGAGATAACCAGGTCCGATGCCATGGAGCGCTTTGAAGATGATAATCAACACCTTGAAGCACACCCGGAAAGCTACCGGCAGCCAGTGCAGCTCGCGCAGCAGCGGCGTTACATGGGAGCGACGAGTCGCTCCCAACACCGCCCGCGCGGCTGCATTCTGGACTAACTGGAGCCTCCGAGTGCTCCTCAAGGGGAGCCCCATGTAGAGAGCATTGCAGTAGTCCAGGCGGGAGGTGACAAGAGCATGGGTGACTGTGCGCAAGGCGTCCCGGTCCAGAAAAGGCCGCAACTGGTAAACCAGGCGTACCCGGTAAAAAGCCCCCCTGGCCACGGCCGTCAACTGGTCTTCTAGTGTCAGCCGTGGATCCAGGAGGACACCCAGATTGCGCACCCTCTCCGAGGGAGCCAAAGTTTCGCCCCCTATAGTCAGCGACGGAGTCAGCTGACTATGCCGAGGCGCCGGCAGCCACAGCCACTCGGTCTTGGAAGGGTTGAGCCTGAATCTGTTTCTCCCCATCCAGACCCGTACGGCCTCCAGGCACCGGGCCATCACGTCAAGGGCATCATTGGGGTGGCCTGGGGTGGAAATGTACAGCTGAGTATCATCAGCGTACTGATGGAAATCCACCCCAAAGCCACGGATGATCTCACCCAGCGGCTTCACATAAATATTGAACAATAGGGGAGCGAGGACCGACCCTTGTGGCACCCCACAAGTTAGGGGCCTTGGGGTCGACCTCTGTCCCCCTGCCAATACAGACTGCGTACGGTCGGTGAGGAAGGAGGAGAACCACCGCATGACGGTACCTCCCACTCCCAACTCCACCAGGCGCCGCAGCTGATAGCTTGTCGGGGATTCAGGTTCTGATTGGGCCCTTCTGTTGTGTCAGACTGGTGGTTTGTGGATTTGAGCTATCGGTGTTTCGCATAACTGATGCAGACTCCTGATCCTTCAGGCAGCAGCCAAAACAGTGGCAGGGTTTATCTGGGCTAGCAGCAGGTTTTCAGACACAGCCTTTAAAACTCCCCAATGAACAAGTAGATTTTATTTCCCTTCCTTGTCCTCCAATTCTTTGCTTTCAGCCTGTGGGAATCTAAAAGTATATTGCCTTTAAATTTAGATTTCATCTTTAAACCTTTTAGCTACTGTACAGTAATAGCTTTATAGAAAATGGTTATCAGGGCTTGCTTTAAAACATGCTAAAGAGATAAATCCCAGGAAGTTCAGTAAGATCCAACAATTGTTCATTTCTAATTCAAAGATCCATATAATCCAACAACAGCACATAAGCAGAGTCACAGGTTGTAAATTAACAGAGCCACTTAGAAAAGCCATTATTTTTATATAGCCCTGACTATCAGTTGAATGATTGACTAGATCAGGGGTAGTCAACCTTGGCTCTTTTATGACTCGTGGACTTCAACTCCCAGAATTCCTGAGCCAGCTTAGCTGGCTCAGGAATTCTGGGAGTTGAAGTCCACGAGTCATAAAAGAGCCAAGGTTGACTACCCCTGGACTAGGTCATACTTCTGTCTTTCCAGCAGAATGTCAACTTCCTTTGCTCAACTCTTCATAATATACGACCCAGACTTTAGACCTTTTCTTGTTCAAGCTCTGGATCACCTGACTCAGGCACCACAGTGCCTCCTCAGACACACTATCTTCAGCTAATTCCTGTGGGTCAAGTTTTGAGTTTCTGAATTTGAAGAGTCAGACCGATCTTTATCTTGCAAAAGAGGGGGAAATGCTAGGCCATGGTTGGGCATTTCAATTCTTCTGCAAAACCTCCATGGATCTTCCCCTGAATATAGCTTGTGAACATATGAGATCTGCAGCCACAGCGTTCCATGCCTTGACAGTAAAGTCTCTATGTCAGTTAGGAATGACAAGAGAGACTTGCATGCACTCATACCAATTTGGTAAAGCACAGCTTTCTTGTGGAGATGGGGCTGCACTGTAATTTATTTGACTTTGAAAAGAGATTGGACAACCATTTGTCTGAAATGGTATAGGGCAGTGGTGACAAACCTATGGCACTAGTGCCAGAGGCAGTACTTGGAGCCCTCTCTGTGGGCACGCACGCTGTTGCCCCAGCTCCGCCTCCTCCCGTAGCCCCCTCCTCACCAGCAGCCCCTCCGGAGAAGAGTCACCCCCGGGTGTGGTCCGTGCGGAGCTGCACAGCCCAGCACATGGCAGCTGGGTAGCAGATGATGCTGCGGGGTGTGGGTGGAGGGCGTGGCCACCATGGCGCTGCAGGGCTGCCTGGGCAATCTGCCCAGGCAGCCCTGCAGTGCCATGGTGGCCACGCCCTCCACCCACACCCCTCAGCATCATCTGCGGCATGCCGTGGATGGCCCTGAGGGTGGGTGGGGTGAGGGCGGAGCAGGGCGGAAACGGGCGGGCGGAGCAGGGCCGGGCCGGTTTTTGGGCAATCGGTCTCTAAAAGGTTCGCCATCACTGGTATAGGGCTTCCTGCCTGAGCAGGGGGTTGGACTAGAAGATCTCCAAGGTCCCTTCTAACTCTATCATTCTGTTATTCCTAAAGTCTGTAGGGAGCTGACCCTGAAGTCTCTTCAGGGTCAGCAATTTTGGGGCAGATCTATTTGGGGGATCTTCAAGTAAAGGGGCAAACTTTTGTCCATTAACTATAAACTGAGGGGGAAAAAATGGACAAGGCTTAAGAAAGCTAAAATCTTGGCTTTCTATAACAAAGCTCCTGGGTTGCAAGTTGCCATCCTGTGTTAAATGCATTGGATCATTAATGGTCAACAATCACTTCTTTTGCATGAGGGAGAGAGAAAAATATTTCTCTTCACATTTCCTGATGAAAGCAGGCACATTGGCCCTTAAAAATATTCCTACCAAATAGGTTTTCAGTAAATAGCAGATGCACACATTCAGGTGGCATCCCACACGGATGATGTTCTCTGACCTTTAGGCCTCTTCAAAAGAGAAACTACAAGTCTGTGATTGCAACAACTTGCTTGGTGTAGCTGGGGATTCACAGTGAGATCAGCGCTAATGATGCCAAGGCTCCTGTTGTCCTACTGATAAGCCACAAGGGCGATTGCTCAAAACACAAAAAGTCACAATCACATGATTGTAGAGAAATTTTGGAGACTTAAAAAAATGACAGCACTGTGTAATGGCATGGCATTTTTTTCAAAACATTATTTTGCCCTTACATAGATGGAAACAATGGAGCAGGAGCCAGTATTTATTTTGACTCACTTTCATATTTCACCATCAATCAGCTTGGAGGGTAAATTTTGCAATATCCTCATGGGAGATGTGATCTGCCCTTGTTGCTTGGGGGAACTGGAGATCTTGATTCATTTCTGTGACATTACTCATTTTATCCAGGTATTGTTTCTCCAATTTTGATTAAGAGACCAGGTAGACCTGATCTATTTTTACACAACCACACCCTGCTTTTAAAGGCAGATACAAGCCACCCAACTGACTTTTTTTTTTAACAGTATATAATATTTTATTAAGTTTTTTCAGGGTAGGGAAAAGCAAGGGTCATTATGAGTAGTGGGGTTCAAGGGAGGGTTTAGGGTGGGAGTGGGTATAACAATGGGGTTGCCCCCAATAACATTTCACGCTTTAGCATCCGGATACAAATATTCAACAGGGCTAATATAATGATCAATAACTGTAGTCAACAAAAATAACAGAAATTATAAAGCATATCAATTAATCAAAAGAAAAAAATCGATCATCTTAATAAATTTCAATTTCATTATCTCATTTTGCTAACCATTGATAAAAGTTTTCCCATGTTTTATAATAGACCGAGTCTTCTTTCTCTTTAATCTCTAACGTTAATCTATCCATTTCTGCACATTCTAAGATTTTCCTAGTTATAATCTCATCGGGTGGTATATCTTCATTTTTCCAGTATTGGGCAAATGCTATTCTCGCAGCTGTCAATATATGTAATATTAAATACTCGTTCTCTTTCCCATAATTAGATCCTAGTATTCCTAGCAGAAACAATTCTGGCCTAAATTCTATATGTATTTTAGTTATCTTTTCCAGCCATATATGAATCTTACACCAGTATTTCTTTGCACTGACTCTTCAAGAGTCTGATTAGGGATGACTTATTTAGGCCTGGAGTTTGCCCACATGTTTTTCTTGCTGATGGTCTGTGTGCTTAATTTACTCTTCCATGGGACTAGTCAATGCCTGCAATAAAGGCTTGATTGATTGAGTGTCCACAAAACTGTCCCTGAGGGAGAAGGACCAGCCCAAGGAAGGAATCTTAGAGGTAAAGAGTCGACAACACCAGGTGGGCCAGGGGCATGGTTGTGTCAGCCATTGACGTGCTTTCCTTTCAACCATGGCTCAGCAGGGACAACTTCATACCATGGTGCTAATGTTAATCATTTTTGAGTCAATATAATTGTCTGGGCTGCCATGTGTTCAGCCCTTCCCTCAGGAGTGGAATGTGAGTCTTATTTCCTTATCAGTGTCTGAAAAGGGTGTGTATGTTATAACTATAGTCAACAAAAATGCTCTGAAGTTTTTTTCTACACTTTGGTAATAAGAATGTGCAAAATAATTCTGACTTTCAAGCTCAAAATGGTTGTGTTCAAGTGGCTGAAGTCACAAGTATCTGCCAAAGCATGCTGACTTTGAAAGTCAAGACCCACTCATCCCTTTTTCATGTGTCTGCAAAGGCTTCGGTTGAAATTGTGCAACACGGGTCTCATCATTCTGACTCCCTTACCTGCCCCTGTAGATGCTGCTGATTCAAATAACGAAACTACACACGGATTAGTGTGAATTCTGGTTTCAGTCTGAGACAAAACATAACCACCTAGAGTGGAACGGGTTAGACTGTTTGATAGGTGATCTGAAGACTTGCCTTTTGAAACTGGGGTGTGATCTTTGGAATTTCATTCCTGGACCAATGCAGCAGTAAAAACAAGTTATGTCTCAGTTGCTATTAGCTTAGGCTGGGTGGGGATCTAAGGGTGGCGTTTTCCAGCAAAATATTTAAAGAACCTATGGCACATGAAGAAAGTCATTCTGATTACTCCTGCAATCATTATGTCCTTGTCTGGCTGTCTAGAACAGTGTTTTCCCATTTCATTTATTTTGAGAAATGTGGGCTTTACCTCCTAGAACAGTGATGGCGAACCTTTTAGAGACCGAGTGCCCCCAAACCGCCTCACCCCCTGACCCGCCCCCCCTCTGCACCACCCCCACCTGCCTGCAGGGCCACCACCGCCTCCACGGCCCACCGCAGGAGATCGCCCAGGCGGCCCTGCAGTTTCATGGCCACGCCCTCTGCCCGCGCCCCGCAGCATCATCTGCGCGTGACTGGGCGTGAGGGCAGAGTCTTGTACCTGCTGCCTGGCTGCCATGTTCTTTGCTGCACTGCTCTGTGCGGGCCGCACCTGGGGGCGACTCTCCTCTAGGGGGGCTGCTGGTGAGGAGAGGGCCACGGGGGGAGGAGGGGCTGGAGCAATGGCCCGTGTGCCCACAGAGAGGACTCTGAGTGTCATCTCTGGCATGCGTGCCATAGGTTCGCCACCCCTGTGACCTAGAATATTTAGCAATGGCCATACTGGATAGTGAATTATGGAAGTCCACATATCTTAAAATTATTCTGGTCTAAAACTACACTTTTGTTGCTTTTTTTTTCTAGGATTGCTATGGGGAAATGAGGTTTCATGTTTAACTGTGTATGGGTACATAGCTTCAGAAGAAAATAAGAGACAACATAAATGCAAAAGGAGCTAGTATGATACTGGTTTGATAGGCATGGAAAGCTTAGGTTTGTCTGTAGGCATTCTGTGCATGCTCTTGTGATGTAATCTATGATGCAAGGTGAAACTGTTCATTTGATCTGTTCACTAAAGTTCTTCTGTTCCTTTATCATTTCAAGCAAAAAAAGAAGCATTATATTCTTGACCTCAAAATACAATTCTTTGTTTTCAGCAACTGACCAAACTACCCCAATTTTCTAGGTCAGTGGTGGCGAACCTATGGCACAGGTGCCAGAGGCGGCACTCAGACCCTCTCTATGGGCATGCGCACCGTTGCCCCAGTCCTAGGCCTTCAGCTGGGTTTTATAAAACCTTTTCGCTTTAGGCCCCTGCCGCCGTGTGCAAAAAAAAAAAAAAAGGTTCAATCAGTCAATTTCAACTTCTCGTGGGAAAAAAAAAGATCTTGCAAAGTTGGAATTGATTGATTGAACTTTTTAGTCCCACCCAGTCTGCGGTTACCACCACGGCCACGCCTATCCAATTGGCCACACCCAGCCAATGGGCCACACTCAGCCAATGGGCCACACCCACCCGGCATTCGACGATGCATAAGTGGGTTTTGGGTTGCAGTTTGGGCACTCAGGTTCACCATCACTGTTCTAGGTAAACCTTTAAATACTTGGATGAAAAGAGATAGCTCATCCTCACTTTCTGCAAAATTAGGGTTACATTGTTGACTTCATGTAATGTATTTAAATTAAGAAGAGACATATTTTCAAATATTCCTGAAGGAAACTGCCATTTGTATAAATGAATGGATTGGAATTTTGTTTATGGAATGTATGAGAGATTAAGATGATGTCTCTATGTCTGTTTGTTCTTTTGTTTTTTAAAGAGTGATAGCCTAGTAGTCTCTCCTAACATTTCTTTCAATGAACATAACCCAGGCAAAGGAAGAATAACCCTGTACCTGAATTGAAGGAAGACAGCAGAAAAGGAAGATGAAACAGAACTTTAATGGGAATTTTCAAAAATATTTTTCCTTGCTCCAGTCTTCATGCAAGCTAACTTGCTAGTAGCATTCATTAAAAACTACAGTACTACCCCATCTAGTCCTGCCAACTTGAAGTAAAATAAAAGGGAGTAAAAGGCTTTCTCTTTATTCCCACTAACTAAAGCCTATGATGCATTTTCAAATGATGTTTCAGTAGAACATTTAAACTGATGTAAATTTTATTATGTCAAAAACAGTCAACTCAAAATATTGTATTGGATTGTCAAACTTGGAATGTTACGTTTTGAGTTTAAATAACTTAATTTACATACTAAGCCAAAACTAAAACAACTTAGCATGTCTAAACCCAGTCCCAAAATTTAACTAGGATTGAGTTCAGAAGCAACCAGCATTTTCCTGAAGAAGTCATGTATGAAGACTATGTTTCACTGTATTTTATAACTATCAAAAAGTCACTCTCTTCTTTTTTTTGTATAATTTTTATTAGTTTTTATAGGGTTAGGAATAAGGTGGCATTGGGGTTGGGGTTGGGATTTGGGTTAGGGTTAGGATTAGGGTTGGGTTGGGGTTTTTCCAAATAACATTCTCAATATTTAGCAAACAGCATAATGTCTGAGTTCATGTGTTTAACAAACAATAATAGATAATAGTTAATTATCATAAACAATATGTTAATTAATCGGTCAATAGTCTTCTTGCTAATATATATTCAAAGTTACATATCACATTCCTTTTTCTCTAACTTGTTTTTCTAGCCATTGACAGAAATTATCCCATATTCTAAAATACCGTACACTGAGTCTTCTTTCTCTTTTATCTTTAAAGTCATTCTATCCATTTCTGCACACTCTAAAATTTTCTTAATTAGTACTTCTTCAGCTGGTAAATTTTCATTTTTCCAATGTTGGGCAAATACAATTCTTGCTGCGGTTAGTACGTGTAGTATTAAATATATGCAATCTTTCTCATAATTTGCTCCTATTATTCCTAATAAAAATAATTCTGGCTTAAAGTCTATTTGTTTTTTAGTCATTTTCTCCAACCATAAATGTATTTTAACCCAAAATCTTTTTGCTTTGGGGCATGTCCACCAGATATGATAATAAGTACTTAGTCTTTGTTTGCATTTCTAACAGTTGTTTGAAGTATTTTTAAACATTTTTGCTAATCTCACTGGTGTCATATACCATCTGTAAAACATTTTATATAAGTTTTCTTTATATGCCACTGCTTTAGTGTATGAAGACTATGTTTCACTGTATTTTATAACTATCAAAAAGTCAGTCTCCTCTTTTGACAGCTGTGTAGAAATCTGATTGGTTGGTGTTGATCATCATAAAATATCTCTACCACATTGGCTTAATCCAAGCAGAAAGAATGGGAATTCTAAACAAATGCTTCAGGGAATAAATGGTCTTTCCCCTCTCTCCCATCCTTAAATTAAAAACTTCTCTAAAGCATGAAAAAGGAGTTAAAAACACATAAGCATCAGAACTGATTATGTGGGTATAGAAGAGTGGAAGCTGACAAAAGCTGAGAAGAAAGAAAGAAAGAAAGAAAGAAAGAAAGAAAGAAAGAAAGAAAGAAAGAAAGAAAGAAAGAAAGAAAGAAAGAAAGAAAGAAAGATGCTTCTGTTGCTGGAGGGAATCATGACTTAGGAAGCCTAAGCTGATAATAAGCTGAAACCACCACTTCATTTCTTAGAAGAGAACTTCTCATGCAAAGACTTTCCACAAATATTCTCACTCATCAGACAGCATTACATATGACATTGCATCAACGGGTGTTTCAGTGGGGCTTCTTCTTAAATACACATGAATTAGAAAGGTAAAATAATAGCCATTGGCCTTTGCAAACCTAGTTTTATATGTGAATTTGAGATAAATTTCCACACACAGGGATGCAACAACCATTACTCAG